AAGTATCATAACAAGCTGTGTGGTGCCGGTGGTTACGCTGGTAGTGCATCCGCCTAAGACCATACACTTCACAACAAATAAACATGAATATATTAATAGCAAAATAAAACATTATTATGAATAGAATATACAAATAGAAGATAAGTATAATTAAATGAACTAGGAATGTATATTGAGACAACAGATGAAACTTAACTGTGAGTAATATATGCAAGTAAAAGGTAAGTATAATAAAATGGACATGAGGAAAAAAAAAAAAAAAGCTATTAAAAGGGAATAATAAATGTATATTGTTATAAAAAAATATATGTTTATTATAGAAAATTAAAAAGATCGAATTCTATATTAAGACCTAATGGGATGAGGGTCTTCAAATTGTAAACCCATTCCATTTCTTTACTTCCTAAAGTTTTTTTGATATTACCTCCTCTCCATGAGATTTCGCATGTGTCAATACCTATACACTTAAGTAATTTAGGGTTTTTATTATGTATCAGAAAGTGCTTTGATAATGAGTGATTTTCAAAACCTTTAGAAATATTTCGGCAATGTTCTGCTAGCCTTATTTTAAGATTTCTAGTTGTCATGCCAACATATTGGAGTCCGCAAGGGCACTCCAATAAGCAGATCACATTTTTTGAATTGCAGTGAATAAATTTATTTATTGGATAAGTCTTTTGTGTAACGGAAGATGTAAAAGAATTGGTCTTAGATCTAATAATTGTGTCAGTGCGTTTACAGGCAATACACTTATTGCATTTAAAAAAACCTTTAGGTTTAATAAACGGGGACGGGGAACTAAGCTTAGAAATAGTGCTTTTGGCTTTGGTAAAATTATTTGAACTAAGCTTAGAAATAGTGCTTTTGGCTTTGGTAAAATTATTTGGTTTATTATACTCCCTGTTTCTTATCAGCGCTGAACCTTTTCCCTGATTTCTATCCCATTGGATATACTTGTTTAAAAATTCACAAGAGCTTTGGCGAGCTTTGGCGAAACACGCGCGTCAGAGGATTCCTGGCGCTACTCTACCGCCATTTACCTATCATATCTTAGAATTATCCTGTATCTCTTTTCTCTTCTGATGTCCTGTTAGGCTACCTATAGCGGGCGTTAGTTCTAGGTGCCCACGAAGGCACATGGGGAGATTTAGTACATATGATCAGCACCTTCTTTCTGTCTCTGCTTACTAGTTTAGCACTCTGATGTATGCTCCCAGAACGGCTGTTTAGTCTTTCACTTATCTATCTCACGGACTGTGGATATCGTTGAAGATAGTGCTAAATTTGTTGCAACTTGGCACCTGACACTTTTGTAGCAGTTTTATACAAGCAGGGATTTATATTGAAATCAGTCCCATTACTATCTGACTATCCTATTCACTAGTTAGCCATATAGCAATCAGTGTTTCTATTTTTTGTCAATCCTAACCATTAGTCAGTCATTTCCACATACAGACTTAGAGTAGTGGACTGTCTATATGGGTTACTATACAGTTTGATCCTCTCTCCCTCTTGCCTCACTCTTCACTTAGCACAGACGTGTGCAGTGTGTTATATTTATATACTTTTGAGACATCAGAATTCAATCCAAATTATCATGGGGTACCATTTTGGTTGGTTTTAACTATTTAACGTATGATCCATTCTTTTCATCTTTATATTATTTTTTCTTGTGAATTTTTAAACAAGTATATCCAATAAAGTTATTTTTTATTTTTAATTTTACTTTATTACCTAAGTGATTCTCCCGTGCTATATTTGCACATCTATTGCCTAGTGATAGCCTCCCCCCCTTTTTTTCTTAAGGTACTCTCTCCACTTTTGTTTGTAATTTATTTCTATCAGGGGTTATCCCCCTATCTAGAGTGTACGTTGGCTGTACTCCAATAGTTTTTGATGTTTAGAGAATGTAGCATGTGTTTGTTAACAAGGAATGTAGTGTGTGCATAAGGGATCCAGAATTTGTATGTCAGGAATGTAGTGTGTGTAGGTGGTGCAGTGTGTGTGTGTGTGTGTGTAGGGGATATAGTGTGTAAAGGACCCAGAGTGTGTATAGGAGATTGTGTGAGTGTGTGTGTAGAGGATTTAGAGTTTTATATAGGGATCTACTGTGTGTATGTGTGTGTGTGTGTGTGTGTGTGTAGATTAGATGATCCAGAGTTGGGATGTGGATGTATTGTATGTGTGAGGGTTGTAGTATGTTGGGTGTGCTGTGTGTGTGTGAGGTGTGCAGCATGTGTGTGTGAGGGGTGCAGTGTGTTTGTGTTTGTAAGAGGGGGGCTGTGTGTGTGTGAGCGTGTTCTTATCTGCCATCACATTCTATGTGTAGAATTCTCTTTATCTGTTAACTCACTGAGGGTTATTTTATATATTATATGTGTGTGTGTGTGCTGTGTGTGTGTCTGATGATGCTGTGTGTGTCTGAGGGTGTTGTGTGTGTGTGAGAGGATGATGTGTGCTTGTCTAAGGGTGCTGTGTGTGTGTGTGTGTGTGTGTGTGTGTGTGTGAGTGTGCTTTGTGTGAGTGAGGGTGCTGTGTGTGTAAGTGTGCTGTGTTTGAGGGTGGTGTGTGTGTGTGTGTGTGTGTGTGTGTGAGGGTGCTGTGTTTGTGTGTCTGAGGGTGCTGTGTGTTACTGAGGGTGCTGTGTGTGTGAGGTTTAGAACATAAAATAAAAAAAATAAATTCACTACTAAAACAAGCAGATTTTTCTGTGATTATTCTTTAGAATTTGAATCTTAAAATAAGACATACTCGATATTATAGGAAATAATATATATTTTTAAACTCATTGTACTTTCCAGGATTTATTTGACATGAAATCTGCAATGCCATACTCTTTTATATCGAAGCCCTTTCTAATGCTACTATTGTTAGTGCCGACACCCTCAATGAATACGATTGTTAAATATTAGTGACAATGAGAAGCTTTCATTGAATCCATATCTGTTTGGAATTGCAATGGAATCATTTATAATTTTTATTTTTTTTAATCAATACTTATTAGTTACTTGTGGCTCTAATTAAATGTCAATAAAATAAAAAAAAATAAAAGTGAGAAGGTATGGAAAATATTGTGCATCAGAGTAATATACCTATATTAGAAACAAAAACACGAAGATAGCTGCATCTGAAATGTTGAATTAAAACAATAGTACAATAGAGTCCTATAATTAGGCAAAATTCCTGAGGAGCAAATACCACGTTTGGGTACCAGAGACAAAGATAGAAAATAAAGAAATATAAGGGGACCCCTAAGCAGGTAGAAGACATGGGAGAAGAGAAATGAAGGGGAAACAAAAAAGTAAGGGAAGGACACATATGGATTGAAAAGTTGATGGAAAGAGGGAGGACTAGCAACCTCACCACAGTTCCTGACAGTCCCTGACAACTGGGTGTTTGACAGCCCTTCTGTGGAGGCAGCTGGCCAAGGGCCACATGGAGGTAGTGAGGGAGCAGTAATCTTCCTGCCATTCTTGCTATGCTCTCTCATGCACTGTTTAATGGCTGAGATAATCAGTCATCATGATCTTTCACATTGAAAATCATTGGGAGGGTATTGCGCATGTGGGACAAAATGCTGCACTGCACCAATAAACATCTCTTCACATCTCTATGGAGAACATTAAGTACGTCCGTCCAGAGCATGGAGACACTGAATGTACAGTGAGGGAAAAAAGTATTTGATCCCCTGCTGATTTTGAACGTTTTCCCACTGACAAACAAATAATCAATCTATAATTTTAATGGTAGGTGTATTTTAACTGTGGTAGACAGAATAACAATAGGAGTCTGTTTAACATTACCATCGCTAATGTAATTGCTCAGATACTCTCTAGAGTAAATGAATTATATAGAGGAACTAGAAAAGCTACAATTTCTGGGGAAATTGTGTGAAGTGTTCTTGCCTCCACCAGTAGTCTACAACTGGAGTGGGTGGAGTAACTGTTATCATTTATATAGAACATTTAATTGAAACGTTGTTGCACAGTTACATTAAACCATAAATTTATAAAAACATTAGCAGGTGTTCAAAAGGCCCTGTCTATGACATCACTTGCTGCTGCAGCCTGGCACAGGTCAGAGAATTTTGGTGGTTGCCATCTTCAAACGGTCATATTTTAAAAACTATAAATCCTACAGCGAAGAGCTTTATATTGTGAGACTCACAAGACCCAGACCTACATTCTGATGCATATTATGTCTCTGAAGTATTAAAAATGAAGGCACAGTCGCAGTTTAGAAAATGCACTTCAAATTTGAGCTTTGTAGAGTGAAGTTTCAATGAATGTCAATGGACGGCATTAGTTGCAAACAAATGATTATATTGTGAAAACTATCAGGACTATGGCTTAGCCGTTGACATGTTTAGTGGCAGCAGGGATAGCTGAACATTTTGATATAAGATTTGTGTAGGTGGGCCTGAAAATAAGGGAGTGGTGGCAGTTTAGAAATCATGTCCTGATTTTTCAGCTTTTGCCAGCTCCCACTCTAGCTTTGCCATTCATTCCTATGGGACAAATTTCGCCACAAGAACGACGATATTCCGTGAACCATTCGGCGAAACGTTCCACAAAGTAATAGCAATCCGATCGGGAACAATCTGCACGTTTTGGTAAATTTTTGTCTATGTAGTGTAAAAACTGTGGGAGGAGTTAGGGTGGCAAATTTGGCTATAATAAGAATAAGAATAAGAAAAGCTACAATTCCTGGGGAAATTGTGTGAAGTGTTCTTGCCTCCACCAGTAGTCTATAACTGGAGTGGGCGGAGTAACTGTTATCATTTATATAGCACATTTAATTGCAACGTTGTTGCACAGTTACATTAAACCGTACATTTATAAAAACATTAGCAGGTGTTCAAAAGGCCCTGTCTATGACATCACTTGCTGCTGCAGCCTGGCACAGGTCAGAGTATTTTGGCGGTTGCCATCTTCAAACGGTCGTATTTTAAAAACTATAAATCCTACAGCGAAGAGCTTTATATTGTGAGAATCACAAGACCCAGACCTACATTTTGATGCATAGTATGTCTCTGAAGTATTAAAAATGAAGGCACAGTCGCAGTTTAGAAATTGCACTTCAAATTTGAGCTTTGCAGAGTGAAGTTTCAATGAAAGTCAATGGACGGCATTAGTTGCAAACAAATGATTATATTGTGAAAACTATCAGGACTATGGCTTAGCCGTTGACATGTTTAGTGGCAGCAGGGATAGCTGAACGTTTTGATATAAGATTTGTGTAGGTGGGCCTGAAAATAAGGGAGTGGTGGCAGTTTAGAAATCATGTCCTGATTTTTCAGCTTTTGCCAGCTCCCACTCTAGCTTTGCCATTCATTCCTATGGGACAAATTTCGCCACAAGAACGACGATATTCCGTGAACCATTCGGCGAAACGTTCCACAAAGTAATAGCAATCCGATCGGGAACAATCTGCACGTTTTGGTAAATTTTTGTCTATGTAGTGTAAAAAATGTGGGAGGAGTTAGGGTGGCAAATTTTGCTATAATAATAATAATAATAACTAGAAAAGCTACAATTTCTGGGAAATTGTGTGAAGTGTTCTTGCCTCCACCAGTAGTCTACAACTGGAGTGGGCGGAGTAACTGTTATCATTTACATAGCACATTTAATTGCAACGTTGTTGCACAGTTACATTAAACCATACATTTATAAAAACATTAGCAGGTGTTCAAAAGGCCCTGTCTATGACATCACTTGCTGCTGCAGCTTGACACAGGTCAGAGTATTTTGGCGGTTGCCATCTTCAAACGGTCGTATCTTAAAAACTATAACTCCTACAGTGAAGAACTTTATATTGTGAGAATCACAAGACCCAGACCTACATTTTGATGCATAGTATGTCTCTGAAGTATTAAAATTGAAGGCACAGTCGCAGTTTAGAAATTGCACTTCAAATTTGAGCTTTGCAGAGTGAAGTTTCAATGAAAGTCAATGGACGGCATTAGTTGCAAACAAATGATTATATTGTGGAAACTATCAGGACTATGGCTTAACCGTTGACATGTTTAGTGGCAGGAGGGATAGCTGAACGTTTTGATATAAGATTTGTGTAGGTGGGCCTGAAAATAAGGTAGTGGTGGCAGTTTAGAAATCATGTCCTGATTTTTCAGCTTTTGCCAGCTCCCACTCTAGCTTTGCCATTCATTCCTATGGGACAAATTTCGCCACAAGAACGACGATATTCCGTGAACCATTCGGCGAAACGTTCCACAAAGTAATAGCAATCCGATCGGGAACAATCTGCACGTTTTGGTAAATTTTTGTCTATGTAGTGTAAAAACTGTGGGAGGAGTTAGGGTGGCAAATTTGGCTATAATAAGAATAATAATATATATGTGAGATAACAATAAGTGGTCTTGCTATGCAAGAACACTTAATAAGATGTATTTTTATAAGTGCATTTAATCACACTTATCTTGTATTATGGGTGTTGTTGGCAGATGTCACTATTGTTGTATGATTTTTTGCAAAGATTCTAAATTAAATATATTCTTAAGCTTTAAATTAACTGTACAGATATGTTTACCAAAATCTAAGTCATATAAAAGAGAGAAAGACTAAGACAATTCTAAAGTGAGAATTGTCAGGAATTCAAAAATAATTCAAAGGGAATTTCAAGCCAAAGTAGTTGAAATGGAAGCATAGCTGACTTGGAGAATTTCTCGAAATTAGGAATTTAGACATTACATTTAAAATTAGCATTGCATTCACTTAGGATTTCTAATAATTCTTACGTTAGTAAATAGCCCTGTACGTTTTACATATATAATAGTATGTAAAAAAATATGATTGTATTAACATTTATTTTGCATGGAAGTATTTTTGTGTGTGGGATGTTCCTTTATTAGTTTACTTATTTTTATATGCTATTTTCTTGCCATTGCTGCCTACAATATTTTTTTTCTCTGTGTTATATGTAGAGAAAATCCAATGTCAAAATGAAAATTCTTCCAAATAGTAAATAGTGCATGGGCAGGCTAAAGTCCTCTAATGAAAATGTAAAAATAAATCTTTAATATGAAAGTATAAAATAATTACAGTAAGTGAACAAATAAAAACACACGGTGAAAAAATAAATGAATAAACACTGGTGCTACAATCACCTTAGTGGGCCACAATAACCACTACAATGAACATAAGTGAAAATATAGGAAATGGTGAGAGCACTCAAATAAAATACAATAAAATTATACCCATTTGTTAATAAATTTCTGAAAAAGAAACAGAAAAAAACAACATAGGGTAATAACGTCAAAATAAATTAAAGTGACGTAGTGGAGTAAAAGACCTAGATAAGAAATTTCTAGGAGAAAATCCAGTTAAAAATTGAGTAATTTCAAAAGATTTAGACACCATTTGTTTACAATTGGAAAAACTTCTTATTAAAGAAATGAAGTTAAAATGGGAGGTATTTATGTTTGAAAAAATACACTACCCTTCAAATTACACCAAGAGGCCTTAGATTTTATAAACTTCCCACATCAGATCAAGATAATCCAGTTTTCATGCAGATTTGGAATAATTCTCTAGAGTCTTTCTCTAAGCATATGATAGGAATCCTGATTGAACAAAAATCACAGATTCTGAATCAGTTAGACATCTCTATTAGAGAAATTCAATCTCAGTTAGAACCCTTTAAAGATATGGATGAATTGAATGAAATTATCGATTAAATGACTAAAAAAATTAAAAATATTGAAAGTAAAGTCATTGAGAATAAAAAGAGAAAATTAGAACGAGATCAGGAAGACTATAGGAGTGGGAACATTAGACCTCCTTCAAAAGAAAATTATCAGAAAAGAAGATTTATTCCTACTGTCAAATATGATAAAAGATACGAAAGTTTTAATAACAGAAGGACTGAGTTAAGACCAGCCCAAGAAAGAGTACCGAGATGGAGATCTCGGGCTAGAAGGGAGACAGAGGAACCCCATAGACAAAGCTTTAGAGATGACAAATGGACTGAAGTTAAATATAAAAGATCAAGACAACAAAGTGATAAGGAAATAAATGATAATAGTAAAACTTCAAGATGGACCCCAAAAAGAAAGGAAATGTTTGAAATCTCTAACAGATTTGATCAACTAAAAAATCAGGATACAAACAATTTTTTAGGTGTACGACCCTTGGAAATAAGGGAAAAGAGAAAAGTCCATACTCCTCTAAAAAGATTGAGAGAACTAGGAGAGGAAGAAATAGAATTAAAAGAAAAAAGGGAAAAACAGAGGAGGAACGAGAATTTCTGGAGAAAGTAATTCCAAATGAAGGAGAAGAGAATTTTAGAATTTTTAATTTATCAAATAAAGTGTTAACAGAGGCACATATTAACATTTTTTAAAAAGGGTTTAAGTTTGCCCCTAGTTGTAATTTGGACTAATTTAATTCATTTTTAGATATCAATAAGTTTTTAAGAAAAATATGTCTTAAGAAATTTTTTAAGGATTCTATAGAAAATAAGAATATCGATGCTAATAATATTTTTATTCATACTGATCTCAAGAAGAAATCCTCATTTTATCCTATTAATTGTAAATCAGATTGTATGAAAACTTTAAAAAAATTATGTTGTAAAGATATTAAAAAGATCAAATCTATTAATAAGTATCAAGAGAATCTAACAAAAGAAGAAAAAATAGCAATGAAAGATTTAAAAACAGATAAATCCATCATCATTAAACCAGCAGATAAGGGGGGTGGGTGGTTGTATGGGATAAAAATAAATATTTACAAGAAATTTATAGACAACTTAAGGATGATAAAACGTATAAAGAATTAACCCATAACCCCCTCCCAGAGATTAAATTAAAATATAAAGAACTTTTAAATGAAGGTCTAGAAGTAGGTATTTTAACTAAGAAGGAGTATGAATTTTTAGATAATAAATATCCTAGAATCCCTGTTATTTATATCTTACCAAAAATACATAAAGATATTGATAACCCTCCGGGAAGACCAATAGTATCTGGAATAGGATCTCTTTTATCTGCTTTATCTCAATACATTGATCAATTTTTACAAAAAAAGGTTATTGAATGCCAAGCGTATCTTAGAGATACTATGAATCTTCTCCAAATTTTAGACGATTTTATATGGCAGGAAGATTTTATTATGGCAACATGCGATGTCGAGTTTATATACTATTATAGAGCACGAAAAAGGATGTGAGGCTGTAAAATTTTATTTGGAAAAATCAGGAGACATTGATTGCCTTCAAATTGAATTTTTAATTAAATGTATTGATTTCATTTTAAAAAACAATTTTTTTTGGTTTGAGAGCAAATTTTATCTTCAGATTTTAGGAATGGCTATGGGGACCAGATTTGCCCCTAGTTATGCAAATCTTTTTATGTCTTTTTGGGAAGAGCGACATATCTTCCATAAAACAGAGTTGGGGGCAAGTCTGGTCCTCTATAAGAGATATATAGACGATATTTTTATTATTTGGAAAGGTAGCAGGGAATCCTTGGAAAATTTTATTAGCTCTCTTAATTGTAATTCTTCTAATATTAATCTATCTTATGATATTAGTGCCGAGTATGTCACTTTTTTAGACCTTTTAATTTATGTTGAGAATGATAAAATTAAAAGTAAAACTTTTTTTAAGACAGTCGATGTTAATAGTTTTATAGATTTAAAAAGTTGCCATTGTAAACCATGGTTGACCAATATCCCAAAAGGGCAATTTTTAAGACTTAAAAGGAATTGTACAGATGGAGAGGAATATTTTAAACAAGTAGAAATTTTAAAAAGAAAATTTATCGAAAAAGGATATATAAAAGAAGACTTGGATACAATTGAAAACGAAATTGCAGAAAAAGAAAGACAACCTCTCCTTGAATATAAACCAAAAAAGAAACAAGATTTTAAAAATAATCAGAATAATGTTAAAACAGTCCCTTTTATTTTTAATTTTAGCTCCAATAATGGAGCATTACAAAAAATAATTAAGAAGCATTGGCATGTTTTAAAAGAGGATTCAGGAGCACTTCCGTTTTTAGATTTGAAACCAAAATTTATTTTTAGGGGGGCAAATAATTTTAGACAAATATTGACTAAAAGTTTTTTAGATAAAGAAATAATTGAAGATAAAAATAATTTTTTAAAAGGAAGTATAGGTTTCCATTATTGCGGTACATGTCAACGATGCCTATTTAGAACAAATAAAAATAAAAAGGTTTCTCATTTTGCGTCTCTGGTTAC